TTATTCACACCGATGTGTGCGGTCCAATAAAACCAAGTTCTTTGGGTAAAAATAATTATTTCCTTCTCTTCATTGATGATTTTTCAAGGAAAACCTGGGTGTATTTCTTGAAGCAGAAATCAGAGGTATTTGGAGCATTTAAGATGTTCAAAGCCGCTGTAGAAAAAGAAAGTGGTTGCAAGATCAAAGCCATGAGATCTGATCGAGGAGGAGAATTCACTTCGAAGGAATTTCAAGAATTTTGTGAAGCCAATGGAATTCGTCGACCTTTGACAGTTCTAAGATCCCCTCAGCAAAATGGTGTGGCGGAAAGAAAAAATCAAACCATCCTCGACATGGCTAGAAGCATGCTCAAAAGTAAGAGATTGCCTAAGGAGTTGTGGGCAGAAGCTGTAGCATGTGCTATCTACCTATCCAATTGGTCTTCAACAAGAAGTGTGTGGGGAAAGACTCCACAAGAAGCATGGAGTGGAAGAAAGTCGGGTATCTCTCATCTAAGAGTTTTTGGAAGCATAACCCATGTACATGTACCAGACGAGGAGAACCAAACTTGACGACAAAAGTGAGAAGTTCATCTTCATCGGCTATGACTCAAATTCAAAAGGCTATAAGCTGTATAATCCAAACAATGGGAAGATGATGATCAGTCGAGACGTGACTTTCAATGAAGAAGGAGAATGGGATTTTGGCTCTCATGCAAGTGATCTCAGCTTCTTTCCTCAGTTTGAAGAAGATAATGAACAAGGAATGATGGAGCAAGCAAGAGAGGTTCAACAAGAGTCCACTACTCCACCTGCTTTACCAACATCAACCAATCATGATAATTCACCAGCATCAGCATCATCAAGTGGGAGTCTAAATGAAAGAGAAATACCACGCACAAGAAGTCTACGAGATCTCTATGAGGTAGCTAAAAGACTTGATAATCCTACGCTTTTCTATCTCTTTGCTGGTTGCGAACCAGTCGACTTCGAAGAAGCAGTGCAAGATACTAAGTGGAGGAAAACAATGGATGAAGAAATCGAAGCAATCCAGAAAAATGATACTTGGGAACTCGCTATTCTTCCGAAATGACACAAAGCCATCGGAGTCAAGTAGGTGTATAAGACAAAGAAGAATGCCAACAGAGAGGTCGAAAGATACAAGGCGAGATTAGTGGCGAAAGGTTATTGTCAAAGACCCGGAATCGACTATGATAAGGTATTTGCATCCGTTGCTCGGTTGGAAACTATACGATTACTAATTTCTTTGGCAGCTCAAAACAAATGGAAGATTCAACAAATGGATGTGAAGTCCGCTTTCCTAAATGGAGTCCTTGAAGGAGAAGTCTACATTCAGCAACCATCAGGCTATGAAATCAAAGGGCATGAAGACAAAGTTCTGAAGCTGAAGAAAGCCTTCTATGGGTTAAAACAAGCCCCACGAGTATGGAATAGTCGCATCGACAAGTACTTTCAGGAGAACAACTTCATCAAGTGCCCTCATCAACATGCTCTTTACGTCAAAGTCAAAGATGAAGATATTCTGATTGTGTGCTTATATGTGGATGATCTAGTCTTCACTGGAAGTGATCCAAGCATGTATGAAGAGTTCAAGAGAGTGATGACCAAAGAATTCGAGATGACCGACATCGGGTTGATGCCATACTACCTAGGCATTGAAGTCAAGCAGAACGAAGAAGGTATTTTCATCTCCCAAGAAAGTTACACAAAAGAGATACTGAAAAAGTTCAAAATGGACGACTGCAAGCCCATAAGCACGCTAGTGGAGTGCGGAGTCAAACTAACCAAGCATGACGAAGGAAAAAGTGTAGATCCAACATTTTTCAAAAGTCTAGTTAGAAGCTTGCGTTACTTGACTTGCACAAGACCAGATATTCTATGTCGTCGGATTAGTCAGTCGTTACATGGAGAATCCCAAAACTACACATTTGAAGACAGCCAAAAGAATTATTCAATACCTTAAAGGTACTATGAACTTTGGCTTGTTCTATTCAAGTTCTGATAACTACAAACTTGCTGGATATAGCGACAGTGATTGGGCAGGAGATTCCGACGATAGAAAAAGCAATACTGGATTTGTGTTCTTCATGGGAGACACTGCATTCACATGGATGTCGAAGAAGCAACCGATTGTCACTCTTTCTACCTGCGAAGCTGAATACGTAGCTGCTACCGCATGCGTCTGCCATGCAATTTGGCTGAGAAACTTGCTAAAAGAATTAAGCATGCCACAAGAAGAGCCAATAGAGATCTATGTCGACAACAAATCTGCAATAGCTTTAGCAAAGAATCCAATATTTCATGACAGGAGCAAGCATATAGATACCCGTTATCACTACATAAGAGAGTGCATTGCAAGAAAGGATGTGTAAGTGGAATACGTGAAGTCTCAAGACCAAGTCGCCGACATATTCACCAAGCCACTCAAACAAGAAGACTTTATGAGACTGAGGAACTCAATCGGCGTCACAAGACAAGATTAAGGGGGGATGTTGAAATGTAATCTTGTTCTTAGCCCAAGAAGATGATCCAGCCCATAGAAAACTCATGAAATGTGCTAGAAAATGCTAGCAAAAGGTTGTCGGTGAAGTGATATGCTAGAAAACTCTAGCAAAGTGCAGCAATTTGTGGTATAGTCAAGTCCACCGCCTTATGCTTAAGAAAATATAAAATGTTTTTGTTTGTGGTAGAATCTAGAAACATATTGGCTGAAATTGGAAAAGTGTGCATGATCAATGCACTAGAAAATTCTAGTGAATGTATAAGTCGGCAAACATGCCCTATAAATATAGGTATGTGTGTGTGTTGCCAAGCAAGAGAGCAAGAAGTGAGAAAAGAGTGAAGAAGTGTAAGAGTGTTTGAGTGTTTCCTCTTGTACTAAGTTTGTGAGTGAATAAAAATTTTGTGTAATACATTGAGTGTTCTTTCTTTCTCTTGCCTATCAATTCCGCTGCATTACATTCTTTTTTATGAGATAAACATCTCCAAAGTAGTGAAGTCTTTTTAAGCCCTAACACTACGCACTGTCTTCGACCCGTACAAGACTGCTGCTTGCAATCCCAACCCGACCCGCCGATCTGACCAATCCATCACACCACTACTACACTTTTGTCTCGCACTGCTGTTGTATCTGCTACCATCCCTGACTCCAAATGCTTCGTTCCCTGACCTGCTGCTGCACATTTGCCGCTATGTCGACCATGCCCGCCTTGAACTAGAACCCGACTTGCAATCTAACCTCCACAACAGACCTGTCTCTGTCAAGCTGTACCAGATCCTTTGCACCACTATACCTACTGTATGCGCACCTCCATCTAACCACTGCACTCGCAGTTGTTTTGTTTGTTAGAAAACCACTGCCCAGAAAGAGTGGTTGAAAGAAATGAGAAAAGAAAAAACAAAGAGAAGAAAATAAAAATTAAAAAAGAAAAAAACAAGAAATTATTTTTGGCTATTTGTTTTAGGCCCACATGGGCAAAGAAAATAATATGGTTAAGTTTGTTTTAGGCCCGCATGAATTGTTGGTTGTTTGGAATTGTTTTGTGACCGTCATTCGAGTGCTTGGAATTGTGACCACTCGAGTGATAGTGTATGTGTTTGTTTGTTCGTTGCTACAATTGACATATGAAAATCTCGTCCGTTTAGTGAAAGGTTCTTTCCATACTCTCAACACCAGCTAGTCTGAATCAGAATCAATTTACCAGCCAAATTAGCTTGGCAACAAGAATCAATTTGCCAATCAAGTCAAGTTTGCATGTCTGCCAGTCCGCCTAATGGAGCATGTCCGAGTTGCGGAGCCTGCATGCCTGTCTATCTATGTTGCGGAGCCTGCCAATCTATTTGTCCGTGTTGCGGAGCCTGCCTTTCTGTCTATCCGCGTTACGGAGCCTGCCTGTTTGTCTGTCCACGTTGCAGAGACTGCCTGCCTGTTTGTCTGCGTTGCGAAGCTTGCTTGTCTGTCCAACTAACGAAACTTGCATCCACATCTACTTGTTGGCAAACTCATGTTGTTTACCGCTATGAGTTTGTCGGGGGGTGTTGGAACATAATAGATTTAGGATTTGGGCTCAGCCCGTTAGAATTAGGTTTTCTTAGATATTAGGGTTAGTTTTTATAGATAGAGTGCTTTGTTATTCATTAGAGAATAAGTTAATCGTGATGTAGCATCTTGGGATTTTATAGTCGTTTCGACATTCTTGTTTGTTTAATAATATTCTTATTATTTTATAATCTTGGTTATCTCATACTCTAATATTCAACTAGAAGAGGTATGAAAACCAGCACAGAAGACTGATCAGCGCAACCTTCTGGCTTCCCTCTCATATTCGAGCAAGATAAGGATATCACCCTCCCTGACTGGGCCCTTGACGTTTCTCGTGATGAAACGGTTCTGGTCATCTAAAAACTCGAGTCTCACTTGAGTCATCTGCGCACGAGATCCAGTCTGTCCCATAACTTTGACCAGAATAGCATGTGTTGAGCATGAATCCTACATTAGAAAAATGAGAGACCTTACATATGCTTATAAAAAGTTGGGCTACTTTCCAAATTGCCAATTAGTTTATGGTGGAACCGAACTCCAGCCTTCTTCATGGTATCAGAACCAAGTTGTTTCACGTGTGAAACCCAACGGCAACGCATGCTCCACGTCACCCAATTTGTATTGTCCACGTGCTAGGCTTGAAAATTCGTCACATGTGGGGGGACGTGTTTAGAGTGAATTCTACATCAAGAAAATTGTCAATTAATTTTATGGTAAAACCTCAGCTTTCTTCAGCATGCTTGATCATGTTTTACATTCTTCACCGTTAACAAAATAGAAAGAGAAAGTTTTAGAAAAACACAAAATCGTCAATTTAGTTCAAACCCTACAATCTAATAATCCGAGCTAGCTGAATTGTATGAGGAATATACTGAAATACAACATATATGCAACAAGACAGCGGGTAAAGGAAAGCAACGTACAATGCAAAATTATGCCTCGTTTTCGAACAAAAAATGTGGACGAGAAACAATCGAATCGCCAATTTATACGATGATGAACTAAGATGATGAACGAAACGATGGTTCGGCCTATACACTATACCACCACGAATGTCTTTCTCAACCAAGAGACACCCAAATTGTCCTTCATTTTTCTAACAAAGAACCGAGACTTTTTTACTTCTCCAAATCAAATTCACCAAACACATATATAACGCATCATGTTCAAACAAATGAAGTATAAAACGCATACAGACTACAGAACTGAAAAAAGAAAATGGGATGAATTACTCATCGTTAAATTGGGAAATCAAAAGGAAATACCATTTTACTAAAAGCCATCATTCAATATAGGACAAACATTAAAAACCAATGTGGGACTCTTTTAATTTCGCATCCTCACATGCACGCTTATATGAGTGAATTTTCAAGCCAAACACGTTGACCACACAAATTGGATGATGTGGAGCATGTATGGTCGTTGGGCTTCATACGTGGGTCAACCTGCTCTGATACCACGAAGAAAGTTGAAATTTCACCATAAAACTAATTGGTAATAAGGAGAGTAGCCATTGCAAAATTTTTCCTTTCACTAATGTGTTACTCTTTTACCTTCACGTGCTCCACACGGCTCACATATTGAAGGTATTTTCCATAAACAAAATCATTGAGAAATATCATGAGCCATTAAAATTTCACAGAAGGAACTTAGAATGCTACAGCATACATTTGAAAATTCAATAAAATATTAACTAAAAAAGCCAAATTTATCAGTATTCCACAGTTTTCTCTGTGTTGCTACAATAAAACGGTAAGAAAAAGAGGGGAAGATGAAACCTTAACAGAGAGGGAGACTGGGGGTAAAACGGGTATACCCCAACTTCTTGAAAGGAGCTCTGCAATTTTTGGTCGCTGCAACGATACGATGAGGAGCGAGACGCACACAGAGAAGGGAAAGTTAGAACAGACTCAGAGAGCTAGTTATTTAGGAGGAAATGAATAGAAGGGAAAGTTACCGCAGTGTTGAAAAACAATAATTCATATTCATCTAGGTGTGAGTTGAATTCCCACTTATCCTCCTACCTTAATATATAACAATTTAACTACCAACATTATCGTTGTAAAAAAAATTCTAAATAGATATGGAAATCAAAATATGTTTATTGTAGCTAATTGCTAATTTTTTTTATTAGAAAGGGACGTGATCATCTTTTTGGCACTCCAACTTACCACCCAAGCACTCCTTGTTTTTGAAGTGATTGAACATAAAATAATATATCAATGATTTAGCAACATGAAATTCAGGTTGACCTAAACATCTGGCTGATGATTACATAACCCCCAAACACACGTACATAATTGTAGTTAAGAAAAAAGGGTAATTAGTTACAATAAATATATGACATTTGATTACAAAAATTATTAGTCATCATCACATATGATCTAAAACATATTTTAACAGTTTTGCCTCATATATGTCATCATTGTGACGTCGATATATGTTCAATATGTTGTCCTTACTTATAAATGATCATTTATGCAACCCAAAAGTTAAAAAATAAAAGTGTTTGAAGACAATATTTTACTAACTAAAAACATCTCCAATCACCCAAAACACAACTCATAACTAAGAACTAAGAATTCGATCATCATTAGTAGGGTAAAAATAAAATCTGACAATAAGCGTCAACATAGTGAAATTAACTTGACTTAGTTCTGATTCCAGTAACTTTAACTTGGTGTGACTCGGGATCGTACAAAACAAGCTTAGGTTTTCCACCATCCTGAATCATGTGAACTTTGCCAAGATTTGTTCTAATCCCCAATGGCCAGGCTACAAATCCAGTCCCATCAGGAAAATAAATCCTACGGATCATTTTCCAAGCATCCGCTTTCAGAACCCATATGTCGATATACGAATTCTTCAAAGCGTAACCATGTCTTTTATGGAACAAAGAGAGTGATCTGTCAAACACTCCAATACAAATTTGACATATAAAATCGGATACTAGCACAATCTTTTGAGCAACCTCACTGTGTTTGATATATATAAGGATCGTTAACAATCAAACCCTAAGCCAAAATCTTGACAATTTGACATTAAATGATAACTGCTGCAATTATTACATTATTATGCATGCAGCGATTACAACAAATAATAGGAGTTTACTTACTTGTAGTAGAAAACATTAACAGCAAGTTAATCACTTGTCTTCTCTTTTCTTGGTTACGAAATTGATCCTAGAACACTCAATGGGACTGCTTCTAGCGTGAAGGATCACACTTACCCGAGAAGAGAGACCAAAGTGATATTTATATGTACTGCAACTCATCCCCCCATCAAGGATGCAGTTACAAGCAGTTTATCCATTTAACTGCTAATTAATTCAAACAATTATAACTTAAAGTTTCCCACCTTTGTGGCTCTGAACCTGTACGAGTCACACGAATAAGTCCTAAATGAAATACAACCATTTTGTTCTATATAATTGCACTAAACATGAACTGATGAGGCTCACTTCATTTTAGGATTTCTTACATTTCCCACATGATGAGCAAAATCTGTTCAATAAATTGAATTGCAAATATACATACAAATGTGATCACTTATTGCATTTTCTCAATGACTTAAACAACTATACATTGAAAATTCACCAATTGAGTTTTAGAGCTATTCAACATTGAATACAATGTCAGAACTCTAAAACCACAAACTGATTAACCTACAATATATATATATATATATATATATATATATATATATATGTATATATATATATAAATGTATGTTGTATTCTAGAGAAGAAAATTCTTGGGACATAATTGCATGCAAGTCAAATACTCCCACATTTCTTTGGTCACAAGGTACTGCAGATACCTTGAATACTTGAATAATCATTAAGCATGTTAAAAACATTAACCTTTAGCATTACAACACATGTATTAACATTATGACATTACTGATGGCTTACACAATACATACAGATTTGTGTAGCTTACTCCCACACTTAAAGAACATCAAATGTTGACTACAAACCCATTTTCTGTACATGTTTGTTGAAAACTGTAACATTCAAAGCCTTTGTCATTGGATCTGCAACCATGTCATGTGTGCTAATATGTTGAATGTCAATCACACCCTCTCTAACTTTATCTTGAACTTTCAAATACTTAATATCTATAAGTCTTGATGCATCTGATCTCTTGTTGATTTTAGCAAAGAATATTGCAGCTGTATTATCACAGTAAAGCTTGATTGGTCCTTCAATGCTTCTCACAATCTTCATCTTATAAATTAAGTTTTTCATCCAATTACACTGTTTCATTGCCTCAAAACAACCAATATATTCAGGCTCCATAGTGGATACTGCTCTTGTAGTTTGTTTCTTGCTCCTCCATGAGACAGCACCATCACACATTAGAAAAATATAGCCATTGGTAGACATTCTGTCATCTATACATCCACTTAAGTTTGCATCAATATAACATACCAGTTCCAGATTATCTACATGATGGTAACACAACACATACAACTGAGTCCTTTCCGTGTATCTTAACACCTTTTTGCCTGCATTCCAGTGAGCCAACCTTGGATTTGATTGAAATCTTCCTAAGACACTTTAACATAAAAGCCAAATCAGGTCTGGTACAAACATGTGCATACATCACACTGCCAATTAAGGAAGCATAAGGTTTATCCTTCATTGTATGCACTTCATAGTCAGTTATAGGACACTGAGATAATTAATGACAACTTATCACCTTTGCCAAATGGTAAATCTCTACCACTGCAATTCTCCATAATAAACCTTTTGAGAACCTTATCAATGTAGGCTCTCTGTGACAAGCCTAACCATCGTTTAGACTTATTTCTAGCAATCTCAATGCCTAAAACATAGTGTGCTTCACCCAAATCCTTCATGTCAAAGCTACTGGAAAGCATGCTTTTGGTTTCTTTAAGCAAATGAACATTACAACTGGCAAGTAAAATGTCATCCACATAGAGAACCAAAAAGATAAAAGTGGACTTTACCATTTTGAAGTAAATGCAGTTGTTAATCTTGTTCTCTACAAAACCAAAATCTGTCACAACTTGATCAATTTTTTTATACCGTTGTCTAGAGGCTTGTTTGAGTCCATATATTGATTTGTTAAGTTTACAAACCATATCTTCCTTCCTCTTTTCAATGAATCCAGTTGGTTGTTTCATGTATATCTCATCATCAAGACCACTATTTAAAAAAGTTGTCTTAACATCCATCTGGTGTGGTTCAAGATCAAAGTGAGCAATGAGTGCTATGATCACTCGAAATGAATCTTTGGTTGAAATTGGAGAGAATGTTTCACTATAATCTAGACCCTCCTTCTGTGTAAAACTTTTTGCCACCAACCTTGCTTTATATCTCTCAATCCTTCCCTATGAATCTCTTTTAGTTTTATACACCCATTTACATACAATGGGTTTGACAGTTGCTGCAGGCATAACCAATGTCCAAACACTTTCTTGTACATTGAATCCAATTCATCCTCCATGGCAGCTTGCCATTGTGAAGACTTTGAACTCTCCATTGCTGCTTGGTATATGATAGGATCATCATGATCACCAATGTCAAATTCTACTTCCTGCAAGTAACACAGATAATAATTGGGAATGGCAGACCTCTTAGGCCTACTTGACTTTCTTGTTTGAATTGGTAAAGTCTCTAGCACATGTGTTGAAGTGGATGCAGGTGCAGGTACTTGCTGAGAAGAATTGGGAATTGATACAAAATGGGATTGTTGTAGTATATGATCATGAAAATCGTACTGCAATGGATCTGCAACAACATCTTGCACTCTATGACTTGGTAAAGAAGGCAAATGTGCAATATTCCTTGTTTGTGAACTCACCATTGGCACAGGTATCAAAACATTCCTAGTGGCATTTTTAGTAAACTCACTTTCAGTGATTTGAGGTTCTTCACATTTCTCTTCAAACACATATGAAGTTTTGGAATAAGAATGTACATCACTGCATTCTTCAATGAATTTGACATTGTTACTCTCCACTATCCTAGTTAATGCATTAGGACAGGAGAACCTGAAGCCTTTGGACTTTTTTGCATAGCCTACAAAATAACAACTAGTGGTTCTCATGTCCAATTTTCGTTCAGTTGG